ACAAGCTTGCTAACGAAGTCTTGTACTCTTGATAACGAAGGTTTTGGTGTGAAGAACGAAGGCTAGTAATCGTAATAGCGAACAAGATGGTGAAGCCTGTGATTTTGAGAGTCAATAGTCGAAGATTGGATATTGACTAGAGTGAAAAGCGATTTACGAGGATTCGTTGTTGATATCGATGATATTCGTTGTCAATAGTCGAAGTTTACTAGTTTGTACACGAAGAGGGGTAATTTTCGACAGTTTGGAAGATATAAGGCAAAATGTTCGAATTAGTCCCTGCACTTTCGAAAGTTTGACAGTTTTTATCCAAATTCGAAAATGGACTGATTTTCAAAAGTTTGGATGTGAAGAATGCAGAAGTTTCAAAATGAGTCCCTGAAGTTTCGAAAAGTTGGCAGCAAATAACCAACTTCGAAATTGGACTACTTTTCTGAGAAATTGAAGAATGTTCATTTCTGGTCCCTGCAGTTTGTGCGAATTAACATTTTCTACCCAGCTTTGAAAAAGGGGGAGAGTTTCGCATTTTTGGCTGTTTTTGGCGTAATGGGTCCCTGCAGAATTCAGAAAGTTACATTTTTTTACCCGGATTTTGGAAAATCTTGCAACTTTCACCCAAAAGTCAAAAAATTTCACGAATTTGGAAATTTTTTGAGGCTTTTTCGTGATTGTTTTTTTGTGCAAGATTTTTGGTGTTTCATTTTTGGCACACATCAAGGGGGAGTATTGTGAAGTTTATTCCTCGGGCGCTTCTCACCCTTAATGGGTTTTATAATCATTTTTTGATTATAAAAAGGGGAAGAATGATGGGTATTTGAAGCGGATCTTTCATTTGCGGATTTGAAGACCGGTGTTTACTTCGAGGAAGAGTTTGGTCTTGATCGCGCGTGCTCGTTGGAGATTGAAGTCGGACATCCAATCCTAACTTTGAGGGGGAGAATGTAAGGGTGCAAAGTCACTCTTGGATGTTATGAGGGCTTACTCCTTTGATTGTGCATAATGAGTTGTCTTTCCTTTATAAGGAAGTGAGTGACACTCATTTTATCTAATGAACATTTTGAGAGATTAGTTTAGAGAGAGAATTTGCAAAACCCATTTTGTACTCTTTCTATGAAACTAATGAGAGCTTAAAAGAATTATTTACTTCTTATGTTCATGTTCTTGATTTTACTTGATGATTCACTAAATCATTCTTAATTTCGCACATGCCATCATAATCAACACCACTACAGTGCACGATCACGCATTCACCTTTCCGTGATCATCTGAAGTACCTAAAACAAAATCCAAAACTGTAAGCCCGAAGATTAGTGAGTTCCCCCAAAATACCAACGCCATACAACATAGCCATATCATAGCAAATAAACAACATGCATATAGAGTTTGCAGTATGATTGGACCGCCTTCACCGGGCCCTCAGTCTATCTGGCCCACTCTCAGAACCTTCAGCATGTCTAGTCCGCCTCACCGGGCCTTCAGCCTGTCTAGACCATTCTCCGGGCCTTTAGCCTAACTGATATACCTCCATGGCCTGCAGTCTATCTGGGCCGCCCTGGGTATGTTGGCCTATATCACAAAGCATGTCCGCCTCAACCCAACCCCACATACACAATCAACACATAAATATCATAAGCTAGCTAGTATGTACAAACAGTCAAACCGATCTAACAGATCACTAATCATAGCATCATCCTATATACCAAGATACCGACCTAACAGGTCACTAACATATCATCATCCTATATACTAGGATACCGACCTAACAGGTCACTAAGCATATCATCATGCAATAACCAGGATAACAATCCTAAAGAAGGGCCGACATTTGTGCCTTCGACCCTGTTAGTAGAGTGATGACAACTCACCTCACAATGTCGAACTGTAATGATAAGATCAAACTCCCGAATCACAGCCACGAACTCCACCACCTATAACCACCATAGGACCAAGTCCATCAAAATCCCAAATTACCAAAATACCCTCAAAAGTCCAACTGGTCAACCCTTAGTCAAAGTCAAAGTCAAAGTCAACAGTCAAGGTCAACAGTCCATGTTGACCCAACTCGTCGAGTGCAGCTTACTGACTCATCGAGTTCCTTCAGAACTCAAAGAATCGTGAAAACCCCAGTTGACTCGCCGAGTTTCCAAACAACTCGTCGAGTCCATGCAGTGTCCAAAATGTTGGGAAACCCTAACCAACTCGTCGAGTTAACTCACTAACTCGCCGAGTTCATGCAGAATCCAGAAAGCGGGAAACCCTCATCCAACTCGTCGAGTTCTTTCAGTCCTTTTCTCATTGAGACGCTTTTAAGCGAAACCAAGGCTCCAAATTGTAGATCTAGCCTCCTAGGGTGTAGTTACCACGTAAAGTTGCTAACTTTACATGCATGCAAGGCTCCAAGAAGCTAAAACACTTGATACTAGCCTTAGGAAGAGGTTTTGTACATGGAGGAGGGCCAAGGCTTCATAAATCTTGAGGCTTTATGTCCATAATGGCCTAGAGGAGTCTAGATCTGAAGTTACAACTTCAAACCATGATCCAAACCAGAAATACTTCAAACTAGGCTAGAAATGGCCCTAAGCTCTTGAATGAAGAGATCTAACAAGAGGATGATCAAGGTAATGACTTTTTACCTTCAAATGAAAGCCAAAACGATGTAGATGCTGGATCTACAAGCTCTTTCCCGTTCCAAGCTTCTCAACCTTAAATATTCTTCAACAAATGCACCAAAAACACATTTTAGCCTCACACACACTCAAAATAGGGGTTAGATAGGGTTTGCTTCTGGACGTGAAGAGGTGGTAAGGAGGCTGGAAGAAGGACTTAAGGTCCTTTAAATAGGGTGCAAACCCTAAAATTTAGGGTTTTCATGCACAACATCTACTCGTCGAGTTGGGGTCCTCCAACTCGTCAAGTAGGTTCATTAAACCACGCGGCCATATCTGTCTCTACACGACGAGTTGGGGCATCCAACTTATCGAGTAGGTCTCTATAATGAATATAAAACTTTAAAATTTATACCTGGGAGTCGGGGTGTTACAATATGACATAATATGTTACGTGCAATTGTAAAATAATTATTTCCATGAAATAAATATTTTCCCAATTAATTATAAGAGCTTATGAATATTTATTAAAATCAATTTCTAATAAATAATCAATTGTATCAAGTTGTTGTTAGTGTGACCCATTAGTATCAATATGTTAATTAGCAATATCAATTTAATATGATTCTTGAGCATACAAGATCTTTCAGCAACCTATGGACTAACACAGGATGTATACAAGAAAGCCATAAATCGGACCAAGCCTCACATATATAAAGGTAAGTTCTTATTACAAAAGGGGCGGTAAGCAAGAAGGCATTTTTTGTAAAATACAACACAAAGCAACATCTAATTTAGGTATCGGAGAGCAATATCGGGGTCCAACCCTCGATATAGCTTTCTAACCTAGTATTTGCTGATCTTGTGCAACGTGACTTCCTTGGTGTTCATTAGACGTAGTCCCATGAGGATAACTATCAAGACACACGGAAGCTTGCGTAGCAACAACTATGATTATGATTTTTTGATTCTTTAAACTCACATTAATCAGATTGGAGGTAGGATCAAATCGAATATGGAGGATAAATGCTGAATAGCTAAGTATGCATAAGATTTCATCAAACCATTATCTGGTTTTTGGCACATCCAAACACTCCTATAAATTGACCTATCTCAAGCTTGACCTTTTAGTTAAGACCTTTTCAATTATAGCTGTCAGGATGGTAATCGACAACCACTGTAGTCAAAAGGTTAAAAATGATGAAAGAATTAAGTCAAAGAAGAAAATGGCAACACAAGATACATCTTCTGAAACGTCTAGTTCTAGAAGGTCATCCGGATAAACATCATTCAAGTAGTACTTGTAAGTCTAAATGATTGGAGAAGAATAAACCATCAAATAGTCCTCAAATTTTGAGGAAATCAAAGAGAACCCGGGAACAAATGACAACGACTCCTATGAAGAGGTATGATAGACATAATAAAAACACCTCTGTAAGTTCACCGGGAACAAAAAAGCTTGTTGAAGAGCCTACTTCATCAAGTATGAAGTCGAAGAACTGAAGCAGGTGGAGAGGGAGACGGGGAAGTGAACGATGGGAACGTGACAACAAAGAAAGGTGAGGGAGGTAAGTGTAGAAAAAGAGGAGAGAATCGTGGTTGAAAGGGGGAAGATGGTGGAGCAGTTGGTGACCCGGAGGGAAAAGATGTGGCGGAAGGGAGTGCTAGTATCGCATATGGTGGAGGGTTGTGAGACGGCGACTGCAGCGGAAGAGGAGGAGGATAGAGAGTAGGAGGGATCCGGTGGAGGAAGGTCTCATAGGTAGAAAGTTTGTGTTTATGTTATTGTGTGTATGTATGTGTGTGTGTGTGTTTGTTTTTGGATGAAACATGGTAAGGTGTGTTTTAAAGTTTGTACTACGTTGCAATTTATTTAATCATAGGCACAATAAAATTGACGACTAGGAAGAGGTTCACCGCGTGACCCCTTCACTTTTTACAAAAGGACGTTTTAAATGCTAAAAACTTGAATTTGTACCCTTAGAAAAAAAAAACTTATAAAATAAAACTTGTAAGTTGGTTGGGTTACAATGACGTGACATGTTCGTGTCCACGTAGGTCAAGACAAGTCAACATCTAACTTGTAAACCGGATAAAAATTTCGATCATTCTCTTAATTAGAAGGTAATTTATTATTAAGAACTAAGAAAAAAAATGGATTGGTTTGGTTGTGTGAAAGTAGCATCTCCCTTGTAAAAATACTTTATAGTTTCATAATTTTATTTACCTTAGACTTACCCTCGGGTGTTATCTCAAACATAGTTTCAACATGTTCAATATTTATAATCGAAGGCTAGATTATCTTGCTGCAAGCTTCGGGATCATATTTTACTCATTTCAATTTTCAACCAACAAAACATGAGTCTAAAATAGTCAGGCAATCAACCGGGGGAAATGGCCTTTCCCTCTTCTTCTTTCCCGACCTGCCATGGCAGCACCTCGCCCTCCGCCACTTCCTCTTATTTTCCTTCCTTACCGACCACCTACCTCCGCCGCAGCCACGATGTCACCAAAACCCACCTCCCCTCTTCTTCTACTTCTACATCTAAACCACTACTATCACTCTCACCACCACACCCTCTCCCCTTCACCACCCTCAAAATTTTCTCAAATCACATCCGCATCTCCTTCATAACCAGAGCTTCCGATTCCGAAACCCAATTCGACACCATCTCTTCACCAACATCATCTGAAATCGATTGTGTTGGAACCGGAACCGATGTGGAGTGCGTTTTTCCCTCAGAGGGAAAGGGCGATTATGAAATTACCGAACCAGTAACAGCTTCGTTAACTGACGTAGTATTGGAATGGGCGTTACTGGTGTCGCCGTTTTTCTTTTGGGGTACGGCTATGGTGGCGATGAAGGAAGTTTTGCCCAAAACCGGACCTCTTTTTATCTCCTCCTTCCGATTGATTTCCTTCTGGATTTTTATTAGTTGCTTTCGCGGCTTCTCGTGGCCGGAAAATGCCATCGGGACTAAATGCTTGGCTTTCTATTGCACTATTCGCCCTTATTGATGCTACTTGTTTTCAGGTTAATTCGTTTCTTAAACTTCAATAAGCTTGTTAATTAGCATGAGTTCTGATTGTTGATATTCATTATCTCTTTAAACACTTTCTAAGTTCACATGTTGGCCAAAATCAATAGCGTTTGCATAAATAAGTTCGAATGATAACACACATAGGTAACTCCCATTTGAGATTTGCAGCTAAATTGTAAAATCACAAGTTTCTCAAACATCCAAAGTCGAAATCTTCGCAGATTTAATGGAGACAGGGGGATAAAAATTATATCTTTTTCATGATTCTTGTAACATTCTTAGGAAGGGCTCAATGCAAGAAATATCAAATTGCTTTCACTTATTTGTGTATTACAACATCCTACTTTTATTTCTTTCTAGCATTGCATTTACATTTATTTTTCTTATTGAGACATTGTAATTTAAACAATCTAACAATTATATCATTGTACTTTCAGATAACATTGCTATAATTGGGTAAAAATTTTCAAAATCTACCCAATTATAGTAGTGAAAATTGCTTTGTATTCAGATAACATTGCTATAATTGGGTACAAATTTTCCAAGTATAATGTGGTAATAGGAAGAAATGAAAGTAACATTACTATTTCTTGTATTCAACCCAATGACCAATAGTCAAACATTTTATCAGCATACAAGTAAAAAGTCAACTCTTTCGATTTACTTGAGTTGTATGGAATTTGATTATATTTTGTGATGCATTTCAGGGATTTTTAGCAAAAGGATTGGAAAAAACATCAGCTGGCCTTGGCAGTGTATGTTTTATATAAATAAGTTACATTTATAATCATAAGCTTAGTATTATTTTTATTTATACAGGTCAAAAGTTTGATCAAATATATTGATATTTTATTTCAGGTTATAATTGATTCACAGCCTTTGACAGTTTCTATTCTTGCTTCCTTTTTATTCGGTGAAACCATCGGTTTAGTTGGAATTGCAGGTCTAATTCTTGGTGTTGTAGGCCTTGCACTTCTTGAGGTATATTAATAAAATAGTTTGTTGAGTGAAATGTAAAATTACCTAATTATCCTTTACTCTGATTATTGACAGATACCTGCAATTCCATTTAATGAAAATAATTTTTCGTTATGGGGAAGCGGGGAATGGTGGATGCTTCTAGCGGCTCAAAGCATGGCGGTTGGTACAGTTATGGTCCGGTGGGTTTCCAAATACTCGGATCCGGTTATGGCAACCGGGTGGGTAAGTAACAACAACCCTACTTTCTTTGAGGGCATTTATGTCTTTTTGCACAAACAAGAGATGGAGAGCGAGTCATTGTCTCCAATATATGCCAAATACAGTACAACCTGATCTAATGACAATATATTAGAATCTTGTAAACATAAATTTACATCATTGATTCATTGTAAATTTGTAATGATTACAAAGATCAAGGTCAAATGTGTAAATTTGTAATAAACAGATAAACGAAAGTACGTTGCTATTTCTTGCATTTAACGCCCATTGGAAATATCCTTGCAGCACTTGGTTCTTGGTGGGATTCCATTGGCGGTGTTGTCGATTCTTGCTCATGATCCCGCTGTCAGTGGAGGATTGAACGAGCTCACGACAAATGATGTTTTTGCCCTTCTGTATACTTCCGTGTTTGGCAGTGCTATTAGCTATGGTGTATACTTCTACAATGCTACAAGAGGTCATCTTCAATCTTCATTTTGATGATGTTATTTTGTATTGATTTGATGATTATATATATAACATCCTACTTTCATGTCTACAATTATACAATAATGTTACATTTTTGGAACTTGTAGGTAGCTTGACAAAGCTTAGCTCCCTTACCTTTCTAACTCCAATGTTTGCTTCGGTTTTTGGGTAAGTTCAATTACAATAATACAGTCCAAATCTAATACATGTCAAACACAGTATAACTTGTTTTGCATCGTTTTGGTTTGATTCTTAATTTTTTTTTTCTTCTTGGTTTACAGTTTCCTTTATCTTGGGGAGACTTTCTCGCCAATTCAACTCACGGGAGCAGTTGTTACAGTTGGTGCCATATACATGGTCAACTACAAAAATGTTGTCAAATGAACCGAATTATTATATCAAATATATAGTGCGATTTAGAGGGCTTTTAATAGAGTTCCAAACAAGGTATATATACATGGAATTTTCCATGATAGTTTTATGTGCTCATTAAGCACATTGAAATAATACTTGTAGATATACATTTCGATGTAATGTCAACTATTTAGCACTATGATCATGTTCTTTAGGTTTTTTATATGTGGAAAAGACATGAATAACCCTCCTTATTCTTGCAAATAACATTTAAAGTGGGATTGAAACCGATATCAATGACACAAATTGTATACATAGGACAAAACATGAGTACTTTGTTTTGCTGTGTTTTGGTATCTTCTATATGCAAAAGACATAAATACCCTTCGGCTTCCGATCATTTAAAATAGTCCAAAAGATAAGAATTCAATTGTTGAAAAAACTACATAAATGATTAGCAAGTTACAAAAACACATAATACAAATGTACTACAATTGATACAAACAATTTAAGTTAAAGCAACCATTTTGCCATCAGCAATGGAGTAAGCACTTCGAGAACCACGCCCAATTCCCTTCTTTGGATAATAATCACGTAATTCTCTCTGAAATCCCCCCAATTGGCTCAATTTCTGCTCTCGTGTTATGGGTTCACCTGAATTTGATTCCCGGAAACCAGCAAAGTTATTGGAATTAAGGTCAGCAACTGCGTCCATGATTGAGCAAGCTTTTGTAACACACGCCGGAAGTTCAAAAGCTGGTTGTGCTGTGGCGGCACCGCCACTATTATTGTTCTTTTGGTGGAAGTTGTGGATATCCTCAAGTAGCAAACTAGCGTAAGATGGTGGAGTAGGGTCAGATATCGTTTCTGTATTCATGTCTAGATCACGAGATAACCTTCGGGTTCTTGGAGGAACCATCGCCGCCATTTTTGGGTTGCTGGACTGTGGAGTTCTACCGGCGTTGTTGTCAATCTCTGCTAACGATTTCCTTCTATGACGCAAAGGATCAGTCTCCCCTCTGTCGATTTGTTCTTGGCTTGTGTTGTCGGTGAGAACCTGAAGGTGTGTTCTCGCCGGAGATACATTTCGCTTCACGTGAATCCTCTTCACTGTACTGGTATTTGGTTGTTCGGCACCACCATTGTTGCTCTTGTTAGTTGCCGGAACTGAAACCATCTTCGCCGGCCTATTGCTACTGCCGACGTCGGTCGCCCCGGTGTTTAGACTACGAAAAGGTGACTCAGACCTCCTACTAGGGGATATACTTATTCTTCTTTCTTTACTGCAAGACCTGTGGCGTCGCATTCTAGAAGGAGACGAAACCCTAACCTCCTCCCTGTGCCGGTGGTGGTGGTTGTGCAGTGCCTCATCGTTTTCAGTCTTATCATCATCACCATCTTCATTCTTCAAACTGGTGTCCAAATCGGAATCAAAGCTCTTCTTGGAACGAGAGTATCTTCTTCTGCGATTAGGGTTTTGAGATCCGGAGGAATTACTCCGGCTAAGCCTGCCACATTGTATCAGAATCGCATCCACTTCTTCCTTGGTACAACTAGAGGTTCTCGTCCTAGCTCCTCCGGAACTCCGAGATTGAACGTCGCCAGCGGTAGAACTAGGGTTTAACGCATTGGGGTCGTCTTCATCTTCGTGTCTTTTGAGTTCATGGCTGATTCGGTGTTTGATGACGAAAATCTCCTTCTTGAAAACCTGTTGATCATTCTTCGTGTTCTGTAGTTGTTGAGGGCTCGATTTGAGGTCGGATTGCGGGGAAGCAGGCTTAAGAGCAGTGGTTTTGGTGTTCTTGCTGAAACAAGCACCCATAGATGAGAGAGAGAGAGAGAGAGAGAGAGAGAGAGAGAGAGAGAAGGGGTTGGGTGCGTTTTGAAAATTTGAATTTTAACGGAGGGGCTATCCATAAAATGCAATTGATTAGAATTATAAATGAATATCATGTGACTTTAGTAAATGATAGGGATTGATAAAAAAACATTAAAAAAAAAAGTGTGTACTAAATATGACAAATTTGTAAAAGGAAATGTTGAAAAACTCCAATTAATAATCCCATCTTATTTTTATTTTGTCCATAGGGGTGTTTCTATTTGTATTTTCTGTTTTGTTCTCATTTTTACGAACATATTTTTTTGCCGACTTGATAATTTTTTTGTCCAATGTGACATTACACGTTGATGTTGACGAGATAAATGAGCTTGGTATGTTGGTAAAGGTCGTCCAATGTCAACGTGTCCATCATTCGCTCCCAATTTTACCAAGTAGATTGTATTGAGAAGTTTTTACAATGTCGTTATCATCAAATGGAAGGAGCTTCAATATTGAAGTTCAATCTAAGTACAACTCTACATGTATATGTAAATGTGAAATGCAGTAGAAGACTTATACGAGTTGGAGTATGGATAACATTGGTCAAAAGTTTAGGAGTTGCCCTACTTAGATGGTGAGTAACTTGAACTTTTTTTGTTTTTTTTCCAATTATTTTTTCGAAAAAAATTCTTATGGAATATGCATGATACAAGTAAGAAACGCAACTACTTCTATTGGATGGACATCGGACTTCCAAATGACTATATATTGATGCTATAGGCATAACGAAGTAATGTATATGAAGCTTGAAGTTACTGAAAATGAGCAGTGTTTTGAGTGTAAAACAAAATCTACAACTCCAAACAGGATGTTATCGGATTTTCTGGAAACTAGACTTGATTTCCTACAATTTCATCTCTCTGGGGCATTGTTTAATTCGGACCATATTAAGCTCTTCAGCACTCACAAACAGATCAACAATTATGTCTAGATTTCGAACTTTTGACAAACATCACCAAATACTTCAAGGATTACGACAATGACTCGAAATTAGCAATGGATGGTAAGAAATTCATTTATACTTTGGAAGTACAATGAATTTCCAGGATAAAGAAGGAGGAAATGACATTTGATCTCTACTAGAAGAATCCCCACTTGAAAAGTACCAAAAACACTACACCACCTTTTTGGATCTTCACCAAAACTTCAAGAATGAGAATCTAACACTCACAATTTTAAGCTAGACGTTTGAGGTATAATAATAATAATAATTATACATTTCATCGAACAATTAAGATCATTGATTATAGTAATTGTTTTTCATATGTGTTACGAGCTAATAAATATTTATCGTATACATGATATGTGGACAAATATTAAATGTATATAATATTTGTAGAAAATCTGAATATAAAAATGATCATTAAGCGATAAAATAAAGAATAAAAATAAGAAATTATTTAGGATAAATAATCTTAACGAATGTTGTAGTAGATGTAATGACAATTCTGTGGATATAAAGAACGTCAAAATCTGACTTTGTATGAAGAAGTTATGATTCATTTAAGTTTCACGTTCAAACCAATACGACAACGTGTGTCATAAAAAATGAATCGGAGATAGGTTTCTTTTTAGCCCAATTAATGTAAAGGAAAGTTGAAGTACTCGTCAATAGGAACACATCGATATAAAGAACGCCAAAATCTAACTTCGTATGAGGAAGTTATGATTTTTCAAAGTTTTGAGTACGACACGGTACAACAGTGTGTGATACAGAAACCGAAATAAAAATCTGTAAATTGGTAGCCGAAACAATATAATCGAAAGTTGTAGTACTCTTCAGTATGAAATGGACGATATAAAGAACGTCAAAAACAGAGCTAATATAATGAAGTTATGAATTTCACAGCGTAATTTACAGTCTAAGCCTTTTCGGACTGTAAATGAAAAACAATGAAAATTAGTTGACGAAGTCTGAATAAAAATTATATTACTCATTTATAGCTACGCGTGGATATAAAAATCATCGAAAACGGAGTCCGTATGCGAAATTTATGAATTTTAGAAAAAATTAAATATGGACCAACCAGAGGCTGGCTCGTGGCACCACTAGAAGGTGACATGTATCGTCATCACACTCAAACCTTCCTCCCCACGACAACCGCTCAAATAATGACATGTGTGCAGGACGCGGCGCACCCTTTGATTTTTCCTATATACTAGGCGAATGCCCGTGCGTTGCGCAGAAACACCTATATAGTTGAAATCTTTACAAATATATGTTTTTTTTAAATATAACAATAATGTTGTTGTTAAATTTGATATAATAATTCGTATACTAATTGATATAATATGTTGATTATTTTGAATTATATGATAATATATACATCTATTATAACTTTATAATCTCAATCGTTTGAATGACTTACACCCGCGAGTTACACATGAATAAAATTAAATATAATATATGGTTTAATGTTATTTATAGTTGTTGTTATTGTTAATTAATTTTTTAAAATTTATTTTCTTAATGTTTTAATTTCTATCATTATAATTATTTAAAACACCAAACATTGTTTTTTGATTTTAAATGTAACAATATAATCATTTATATAGAGTTATTTTTAACTATTATTATTATAAGTTATTTTAAGCTACTTATTTGAAAACTTTTAATGATTATAAAAATATCTTTAGGAAATATTTTAGTTAAATTGAGATTACAATTTAGTTTTTGCATTTATCACTACAATTTATCATTTTTAACTATTTACAAAATATTCTTTGGTTTTTTAAGTGGAACTGAAATTTATATTTAAGTTGACACTGTAATGTTATATTTAAATTAACAATTCAAGTATTTTGTCCAAACTGTTCAAAAGTTGTAGCTTTAAACTGATAATGGTTTACATATAACAACATTTCAAATCTAATAAATTAAGTATAATATGTTAAAAGTTAAACACATAACTTTATAAGTAGAAGTAAAGATATTATTTTAAAATTGAAATTTAGTTTATTTATGATTACAATTTAGGTTTGATATTTATTTAACCTTATTAACCAACTTATAATCATTATTAAAAAGACACTACAATTTATCATTTTTAACGATTTACAAAATATTTTATGGGTTGTTTAAGTTAAACTTAAACTTATATTTAACTTGACCCTGTAATGTTATATTTAAATTAATAATTTTAGTATTTTATACAAATTGTCCAAAATTGTATCTTTAAAATGATAATTGTTTACATCCAACAATATATTAATACTAATAAATTAAGTATAATATGTTAAAAGTTAAAAAACATAACTTTATAAGTAGAAGTAAATATATTATTTTAATATTGAAATTTAGTTTATATATGATTACACTTTAGGTTTGATATTTATTTAACCTTATTAACCAACTTATAATTATTATTAAAAAGAAATTGAAAAGTCATGGGAGTTTCAAATGAATGTGGTGAAAGGAAAAATGCATGGGAGTTTCTAATGAATGTGGTGAAAGGAAAAATGCTTCATTTATAATATAATATGATATGATTTGTTCGTTTTCTTGTTCATTTGATTGCCAAAAATCATCCAAAACACTCCCAAACTCTCCCGTTTTCTCAAGGCCCAATCTTAGGAATTCTAGGTGTTAGTAGCGAAGCTTTAGAGCGCCAGAGAGCCCGGAGAAATAGAGGTTTCAGTTTTGAAGTTTTTCCCGCGTAAGTTGAGTTATGCTTACCGTACTTTAAGTATAACTTATATTTATGTTCGTAAACGTTAATATAAACTTATAAATAAAATTTATTAGTATACCAGTCGTTGTACTGACTGATCTACTTACGGGAGTGATGCCAAGGCTACATCTGTGAGGTGTTTAAAGTGGATTTTCCAAATAGTATATCTCTATATACCAAACGAATCCTACCTCCGATACGATCTTACATGGTTGTTCCTTTAGCATATCTCAGTGTTCTTTTGGGATTATTGATAAGTTTGATAAAAATATTATAACGAATAACCTTTATAAATACGAATGTAATACTAATGCTTAGTAATATTCGTATATTTAGGTCGTTTTAAAAGGAAATATGAAGTGTCAGTCAAAGAGCTGACTTTCCGACGAGTCTTCCACCTATATCAGGTGAGTGCATAGTTATTTTCAAGAACATGATTTTAATACAATGTATTTATTTAAAAGTATTAATTATCTGTTGAAGTTCATTTATGAATTAATTACTTATTATCTGGAATATTTGTTAAATGTATATTTGATAATATATCCTGTGTGAACCAGATATGGTTAATTATGTGTTAAATGTTTATATGATATTATTACATTATAATCTTAAAAATAAGTATTATTACTTAAAAGATTACTATATATTAAAATACTTGATACTCTACGTTAAAATATACACTATTTTATGATAGTGTTGTCTAAACAGAATTAGTATTAAAAATTGATTTCAAGGATTGTAATCTGGTCTAAGTTAAAAACTAAGACATATAAAGAATATTTAGATCTAATTAAGTTGGATAAAAGAATAGTCGCATATTGTATTGCGATAGTATGGAATAAATAGGAAAATGTTTTGGAAATCAATCATAAGAATTATAGTCTTACCTAGTAACAAAATAAGATTTATAAAGGATATTTAGTTCGGGTTAAATCAAAGGAGTGTTTAGTTACACCCAATATTGTAAAAATATTACATAGACATGAAATTATGTTGATTACAGGTTTTGTAATATTGTCTAGTTATACATTAGGACTTAAAGGGGATGCTTAGTTCAATTAAGTTTGGATATTCAATAACATCATATTAAGGGTGTGTGTGCGATAGGAACGAAGAGTAAAACTTTGTTCTATGACACTATTAGGCGTTGATGGTACAAACTACGCACCAAAGTATGATAAAGTATTCTTTTGGATGACCATAAATGATGGGTCCATATCAAGAAACAGTAATGGTATGTCTGGTCATCTCCCAAAGTAATATGACAAC